CCCACAGATAGCAGATACATTGAAAATCATTTTAGGCTGGATTCTAAACAAACAAACAACATTGTAAAGCTAGAGAGGTCCTTAAAGTAGGGAAAATCCATTTTGGTATTAGGCAAAAATGTTTCCATTTTTTCCCCTTTTTTAAAAGATAAATTGTTAAATCTCAGCTGATTTTTAAAAAAAAAATTAATGTAATTGCTGCATCATGATGATGATGATGATGATGATGATGATGATGATGATAATTAGTTAAATTCTTCATCTTGGGAGTATGAATGAGGAGCTTCATACAAGACTCTTCTAAAAAATAAGTAAAAATATGCTTCTGTAAACTCTTAATGTATCTTTCCACTTTTTCCAGAAGTACAGAAACCAAAGACAATTTAAAGGCTGTAATCCTAAATTCCTTTTAAAATAGAGTCAGAAATTGTGGTTTGTAAAGCCATATTTTGTGTCACAATATTAGCATGACTGACACTACCTTATACAGCAAACCATGGTTTAGTGTTATTACACTGTAGGCCATGTTGTGATTTTTTTTTATTTTATTATTTTTGTAATAATTTTTATTGACGTTTACAAATACAAAGATAAAAAACTAATGCAAACTAAGAAGAATATAAAAAGTAAAAAAAAATACAAAGTGAAAAAAAAAAAGGAAAAAAGAAAGAAAAAAGAAAAGAAATGATATATGAAGAAATGACTCCCCCCTCCATCAAGACAAGTACAAACAACTTCGGTAAATTATCACCTTCTCTGATATTTCAGCAAAAGATCTTTTCTTCCCGTATCTCAACTCTTATCAATAAACACATCATAAAATCTTGTCATTCAGTCCTTATCAGCAAAAGTCCATTAAGAGTTACCAGAATTTTTACAATTTTAGATTCCTTTCCTTTACTTTTAACAGAGTAATTTATCACTTTTTCTAAAATACAGCAAAAAAATTCTTCTTCCATATCTTATCTCTTACCTATAAACAAATCTTTAAACTAGGGCTCACCATTCAGTCCTAGTCAAAATAGTCCATTAAGCTATCAGAAACAACAACATATATATTTTAACCTTGATCAGATAAACCCACTTTGTATACCTTTCATTTATTTTTAAGAATCTTAATCTTTAATCCCTTCAAATAATGTCCCTATTTCAGATAATTGATTTCTTTTCATTTTCTCTTTGTCTGTTCTCAGAAACTCCTTCACAAGTTTAACATGTCTCTTGTGTAAGTCTAAGATAGGAAAGCTATCCAAATCACTCTTCTGATTTATTATTTGTATGTCCCCTTTAATTATTAAGATTAACTAATATCAGATGGTTTCATTTGTAAATCCAGTATAACATCATTTTCCATATCATTCTTATAGCCTAGCATTTTTAAATCCATTTTAAATCAGCTTCAGTCTCTGTTTTATCCAGTAAAATCTGCTTCTCTTCCATAACTTCTTTTGAACCCAATTTTACAATAACAGACATTATTGTAATTAAGAGTAATTTCTGACTGCATTGTTTCCAAATATCCTTGAATTCTTCCACAGTCAAATAATATTGCTCCATCCTACAATAATGGGTCTCTTCTCCTTTAATTATAACCTTTGGTTCTCTTTGGTCCCCTCTAGTCAATGTTCAAAGTCCCTTCTTATCATGTTTCCCCCCCTTAATCAACAACACTTTCCCACAGGAAGATTTCTTATAGTTAGTTTCAAAATCTTACTGTCTCCTTAATCCATTTATAACTTTCCAAAATCAATGTTCTAGTCATCCTTTTGCTGTTTATTAAAAAAAAAAGTCCTTAAACTTGCATGAAACTTCTTTCATCAAGGATAGAAGAAAATTCACCAGGCATAATGAAACTTGCCCTTCTGAAGATTCTTAACATCCAAAAAGCCATTAACAAGCAATTTTCTAAAGTGGTTAAGAAAGGAAGTCTGCAAACCTAGTGTCATTTTGAAGGTGCCGAACCACGGCTTAGGCGAGATGACTTTCACCCAGCTCCCAGAGTTCTAAAACCTGCCAGAGACCGCTGTCTTAGGGTCTCCTTGTGGGGAGCCACTGTATGGAGTGCTTGTGGGTGATCCTGGTCCTCTCCTTGCTCCAGAGAGGAATTCCAAGGACCCGATCCATTCACTGGCTCCTCTTTCCACCACGGTTGATGGCTCCACTCTTCCAGAGGTGTCTTCAGTCTGCCAGTTCCCCAGAAGTCCCAGCCCTGGTGTGATCTTTGTAAGAGAAAGACCTCTTTCAGATCTAGTCAGGCTACATTTCAAATGTATGGTCCTGAAAAGAATATTGATGTTCCAGTCCCTATAGGTTTACATGGGAGTGAGCCCCAGTGAACACAGTAGCATTTATTTCTGAAAATCTTTGCCAACTAAAATGTCAGCAGTTTCAAAAAAAAGGATTAAATGCCTTTCCCTTGTTTGTTTGTTTGTTTTGTTTTGGGATGGTTATATAGTATATTCTACTTGTAGTGCTGTCTTTATCTATTGCAAACCACTCTGATCTTTTGAAGTTGGGTAGTGTGGAAACGTAATGAAAAATAAATGTCCACAGATGTGTTCAGATAAATCTCCTAGAGATAGGTGCAGATAGTCATATCTGTAATTTGCTAGGAACCCCTTTTGCGCTCCTCTGAGAGACCAAATTGACAAGGATAAATCTGTATCATCATGTCTACTGAGAAGGACCAAATCATGCAAATGCTTAGACACCAAGGTGTTTTTGTGTGGGCAAAAACCTTTCAAATTAGCAGATGAAAATCATTGGTTTATTTAACAGCATTCACATCATGGGAATTAGGAACCAAAAGACACAAAGCAAATTATTCCATCATTTATTTATACAGAGTAATGTTTATGCAAAGTGCTACAAATACTTTAACTGATTTCCAGGAAGTTAACGTTTTCAATTTCTTTGTTTTCTGGCTGGATCATGACGAGCAGAAAGTCAAAGCGTGACATTTTTACCAGCAAAAGAAAGCTGTTGCTCTGCATTGTGTATATTGGTTGATTGGAAACTGGCTAGGTTACTTTGTTAGTCACTCTTACAGTTCAAACTACTTCACAGACAGGGGTGTCCATGGGGGTAGGAGTGTCAAAAGTCAAGAGGGTAACTATTGCACATTCAACACAAGTAAAAAAAGGGATGGGCCTTAGACTGTATGGTTCTGGATGCCACGTTGACTTTCTTGACTCTTCCTGCAGATACCTCTTTCATGATCAAAGCCCCACGCAACTAAAATGTGCGCCACAAATAAAAAAGTGGTACACCCACCATCTTCACTTTTTTCTGACCCCCCGTCCCCAAACAGGGATGCTCCTAAGATCTCTAGAGAGAGGCAGATGTAATGAAAGACAGGATACCCATATGCAACTCTTCCCCATCTTAACTAAATAAGCACAAGATATTCACCAATCATGTTTTTTCCTTTGAAATATATTTGAAATACATGTTGAAAGCATACTCTCTTTCATCAAATTGAAGAGAGAGAGAAAAATACAAGACAATCTTTTTTCTGCAGAGCGCTAATTTAAAATACAGATCCCTTTTATATGTATAGTATAACTCTACCCTTTTATACATATAACTTCATCTTTACTTAGCAGCAATTTTTTTGTCTTTGTCATTTCAGCATCCCCAGACCTTTATTTTATACAATGCCCTTCTCCTTTGTTTATGGGAAAACGATATTTCACTTAGAATGGATAGTAGTTATATGCAATTGAAAAAGACTAATCACAGTTCTCTGCTGCTTGGATCTGTTACCTGAAAATAGCATCTTTATTGATATCTGCAAAAATATTGTCTGAATGAGTATCACAAAATAGTTTGATCACTGAGGGAGGGAAGAGAAGAAAAAGAAAATATAAGACCATTTATTTCTATGGAAACTGGGTTAGATCTAATTTTTTGAGTGTAGCTGATAGCTACTCATAAATGAAGCAAGACACACCACTATCTTATCCCCTTGTTCTTCATGGTTCTTTAACCAAAGCTAGTTATTGGATTCTAATTATGATTAATGCTAACTACGAATCTTGGTGGTTTCTTTCGTTGAGTATGCGTAGCCTTACTAGCCACAGGCTTAGTTAAAGAGTTTAATGATGAATAAGATGGCTGTGCACAGATTTGGATTAACCAGACTGCTTAGCTTAATCTGTAATTCAGGTATTTATTTTTCTTGGTCAGGAAAATTGGCTGTGATTGATTCTGAAAACCCTAAGTAAATGGCTGATCCACAAGGGATGAAGTCCCCTTAATAACCAGTCTCTGAAAACATAAACTAATTTCATTGGTAGAACATTAAGTCTGAAGTCCAAAACGGGCAGGGGGTGACTGCTAACCTCTGAAATGGCTCCTGTAGATTTTCACACATTGAGCTTTGAAATGATGAAATTCAGTTCCATGACGTTTTGTTGGAAATAGCTCTTTGAAGCCAATCAAAGAGGCACTATTGTTTCAAATGCTGGATAAGATTGGCTACCCAACATCAGTTTGGATGCTAAAAATGGCTTCTGTTCAGGTTCCCATCAATCATGTTGAAATGATTATTCAGATCTGGTTGGTCTGCTTTTCCACTTCAGTTTGAAGCATCAAGACTGAATGATTCGATGTTCTGAGATGATTGCTGTAAACTTCCATATTAAGGCAATGACCCAAATGGTGGGGCTACAAAGTGTATGCCTATGTATATGTGTGTGGTTCTACTAGAGCCATACTACATGCTGGCATCTATGGGTAGCATACTGATAAACTCTGGCCTAGAGGTCTTTCTGGGTACTTGACAACTCTAGATATGTGTATTCTAATTATAATGCTGTATATAAGTACATGTGCAAGCTGTCTTTTGATGATCTGGGAAGAGAATGAGTTGTTTCTGTACTAGATTACTGAAAGTTCAAGAATTTTTACTGAACAAAACTCACAATTCATAGATCAAAGCTCTGAGCAAGAACTTTCACTGTGACTATTGAAGGAAATGTTCTTTTCTATCTTCATAGAGGGTGTCGATTATGGGCCGGTGTTTATACAAGAACCTGACCATGTGATTTTCCCCATGGATTCAGATGAGAAGAAAGTATCCCTCAGCTGTCAAGCCAGAGGAAATCCTGCCCCAACCTACAGGTATATAATATGTTTTTAGCAATGGAGTTCAGCTATCTATTTTGATTTCAAGTCAGTGTATCCTGTTTTTCTAGCTAAAATGCATTTTGGGTATTATTTTAAAAGATTCAAGTTCAAAACATTCTCTTAATCTATTCATTTATGTATATGCTTTTTTCTAAACACATACATTTGGCAAACTTAATCAATCCTTAATATATGCATACTTGAACAAAGTACTGTTTTCCCTAAAGTACCATTTTTTTGCACAAAATTTCCCCTATGATGCTCATTGTTGTCTGCATTTTTAAGAATGTTATTCCCGTTTGAATATTGGTTGAGACTATGAGAACTGGATCAGCTCTTATTCAACTGCAAAATCAACTAATTTTTCCTCCAAACCTAACATGCTTAATGGATCCGTTCTCCCTGCTTTCACTGTTTATTATGTCCAGTTTGATTATGAAGATCCAAGACTGATAAAGAGATTTTTCAAATATAGAGAAAGATTTATCTGTTTCATAGATGGTCTTGAGCTAAGAACAATCTATGTAAAGTGGATTTTATATTTTGTAACTGCAAGTTAATAATATGAAATTCACCTTCATTGTTTGTTGAGGAAGAAGGAATATGCCTTTAAACCTGGAGCACTATGCATCTCAGATAAATAATTTGTAGGATCATCAATTCATAGAACTGCTATTCAAGTTTTGACATTTATTTGTTGATTTGTTTTGTTTCTATATTGCCTTACTCCCTTAGAACCAATAGCACTTTACAAAAGACAGTAACACAATAAAGACATTCAATAAAATAATGTAGCAAATTAAAATTATATTATTAAAATTTGACAAATTATTATTTTAATTGTTAGAAGCTCTTCAGAACAGGTCTGTTTTCATAAACTTCCTAAATATCAAGGGAGACGAAGTGATACAAATCTCTGGGAAAAAATTATTGCAGAGGGTTAGTACCGCAACTAAAAGGAACTTATTTCTAACTCAATCTGACACAGCAGGGGAACTCTCAGCATTCCTACCTATGATGTACATACTGGACTGGCAGTTCTCCTGAACATAGATGGACCTGCAGACATCTGGGTATGCAGCCATATAAGGCTTTATAGCAAGAACTACTTTCAGTTGCACCCAGGAGCCTATAGGTAGAAGCCACAGCATTGGTTTCATGTGCGAGAAGCAGTTCTCACCCACCATCAAGTGGACTGTTGTATTTTGTATTAAGTGTAGCTTCCAGGTGGTCTTCAGTGACAGTTCTGTATAAAGCCCATTGCAATCATTTGAACAAGAGATAACAGAGCTGCAGATTATGGTTGCCAGGACCTCTTCCTTTGAGTAGGGCTGTAATTGGTGTACCAGCTAGAGCTGGGCAAAGCCCCCATTAACCATAGTCTCTACCTGGCTATCTCGAAGTAGGCATGAGGCCAGGTACATCCCTAGGTTGAAGTCATGCTTTCCCATCTACAGTCACCACTGGAGCAGAAAAAGCACCCGGTCATTTCTGGACATTCCAACAATGCAGACTTGCTGGGATTCAATTTCAACTTGTTTTTTTCCATCAATTCCTGCAGCCTTCAGACCCCTGGTCAAGATTTCCACTATGTCACTATCTTGGCCTAGGTATATATTGATTTGGTCTTCTGTATAGAATTTTATGAATAGTACTTTTCAGAATATAATTTACATGTTTAGGCTATTGAACATGTACCATGTTAAAAGCATTGCATACAAAGTGTGATCAATATGTGGGTGTTTAAAAAAGAGCCAGTGGACGCCATTTATCTTCCTAGTTTATTCCTAGATTATCCTTTGATCATCCCTTGAGCATTCTCAACAATTTTACCAATTAACATTCTGCGCTTAGCACAATTTCTGTAATCTCAAGGGCCATACCAAACGTGGCGTGGTATAGTGAGGGCTGCACTCCAGAAACAGGCAGTGCCAGGATCCAATAGAGGGCCAATGTTTTAAAGAGATAAAATAGGTGCCATAAACTTGTGCAAGGCTTAAGATGCCAATTTCTAGGGCTATGCACACTTCAGAAATGATTTGGACTCCTTCAGGCCTTACATGACTGCAACCACAACACCTTCCTACTATTCACTTAAGTAGCTTGACATTTTTCAGGCATTGTCACAAAACTTGTATGTCAAGTGGGCATGTCAATGTAATAAATAAACAGGAAAATAGGTACCACTGCTTTAAGAGTTGCATTAACTTTGATGAAAGAATTCTAAGGAATCCCAAAGAAGAATGAGATCAATAAATAGGATAGCCAAATAAATAAACAAATAGAGCTGCAAGAGGTAGGACTAATTATAATTATGGTACATAATTATGGCACTAGATACAAGTTATTACATTTCCTTTGATGTTGTTTCCCCAGTTTAATTAATCACCAAAGTTCTGATAGCCTACACAAAGAAACAAATACCTATATGTAGAATCTGAATGTAGGATGGACAAGAAATTAAGAAAGATTGTCAGAATTAAGATAAAACTACTGATTTTAGGCTGACTGAATATAAAAGAGAACTTTGAATGTGCAATCATGATAAAGTCTCATATTTTTCACAATGTTCCAATACAATTTGCAGCTCAGAAATATGGACACAGTTGGGTATATCAGGAGAAAATATGCTGAAAAATATGTATATTGGAAATAAAAATACAAAATGTTTTCTAAAAAAACTGCATCCTAGAAAAGACCTATGCATCTGAATATTTTGCATATGAATCGTATGCAAATTTCTAAACTGAAGGCCAGACAAATGTGATCTTATCAATTCTATCAAAATTTACTTTCAGTTTTTTCTGTCCTCTTGAAACTGATGGTTATTGAACTATAATTTTTTCTTTCCTTCTAAGGTGGCTCCGGAATGGAACTGAGATAGACATAGAAACTGATTACCGCTACAGTGTGATAGAAGGAAGCCTTATCATCAACAATCCCAGTGAAATAAAAGATGCTGGGCAGTATCAGTGTTTTAGTACCAATGTCTTTGGTAGCATTTTGAGCAGGGAAGCAACACTACAATTTGCATGTAAGTAACCATTCTGTTATCCTACTTTATTATCATTTAGATAGAGATAATGAATTTGTATTGATGATGAAACAATGAGGATATGTCTAACTGCATCATGAAGAACCAGAGAGTTATATTCATAACTAGGAACATAGGAAACCACCATATACTGAGTCAGATGTTATTATTATCCAAAACTCTGTCTTGAGTTTCAGGCTGAGTTTTCCCAGACCTGACCACAGATGTCAGTATGTCCTCTTTCTGATCTCTTGATGATAATGCTTAAGGACAGTTCACAAATTACCTTTATTATATACAAAAGGTGGAATTCTCTACCATATGTTGCTTTTTTTCCATCACCACCAGAATATGTAGTACGGCTTTTTAAGTGATGTTTGTTCTTGGAATGGGGAGGAGGGTAATATGAAGCATTAATGTTGCCCAGTCCTATTTTCGATAGAAGAATTCTTCACAACCATAGACAACCATCCGTTTTTGTAATAGTAATGCTGAGCTGAAATAAGTTTCAGTGTTTTACTTGTCTGGCGAAAATGCTTCAGATTTGTCTAACTCTTTCTCAGGAAGCTTTGAATTTTCTTCAAATGTCTTTTGGTATGGTTGTATGTATTTCATTATTTCAGTGTAGGGGGCTTTTGTTTTGCATGTTAAACACCTCTTCATTGGTCTGCCCAAATGTCCTGATATGAAAAAGCCCCAAGAAGTGAATGATGTCTTCCTAGGATTTAACTGACATCCTGAACTCAGTTGAAGTGTGAAAAGCTAGAGAGGCTATAGATCAATGTTTCTCAACCTCAGCAACTTTAAGATGTGTGGACTTCAACTCCCAGAATTTCCCAGCCAGCATTGCTAATTGGGGAATTCTAGGAGTTGAAGTCCACACATCTTAAAGTTGCTGAGGTTGAGAAACACTGCTATAGACTGATGAAAATAATGAAAGACACACATATATATTCCTCAGTTTCCTCCTATACTTATAAAACTCCTAGATCTGCCCACAAGAATCTGTTTGTTGGTTTTCGTCCTTTGGGGGAAAGAATTGAAAACAAATTATGTTCTATCAAAGGGAATGTGATTGTACAATAAAAAATACAGAACATTTTTTGAACTATTCACCAGACCTGCAGAAATGAGGAGTTCAAGCAACGCTGGGCAAGCAGGCCAGACTTTGTGCAAAAGAGTTAATGACACAAGGTTGACATCAGGACTGAAAACAAGGACAAAGTAATAGTCTCCCAGGTTATTTTTACCTCCCAGGTTTACAGAACCCAAGGCTGCTGCTTTTGAACAAAGAAACTACTGTATACCAGCATTATTGAGCAAAAGTGAAAAGGTTTTAGGCTATCTCAGACCTTAACAAACACAATGGGTTTTTAACAGATTAGAATTGCTAATTGATGAGATACCTCATCAGTCCATCTGCCTCACCTGTAACACTTTCTCCCCACCCCACCCACCTCATCCCAATTTAAATCCTACATCAGTTCATCCACTACATGCAGCTGACAAGTGAGCTGTAGTTAACAAAACCTTATGTCTTTTAATAAAATTTGTTAGTGCCTTTTAATAAAATGTGTTAGTCTGAAAAGATGGTATCAGACTCCTTTTAACCTTGCTCTTGCTCATGGGGAACAAGAAGTTTTATAACCAAGTATGTGTGTGAGAAAATAGTCTTTCGCATCAAGACCTTGGCACTACTTAGATACAGACAACAACCTTTCTTGCAATTTAGCAAGGAGATTTGATTACAAATTATCCCTTCTTAATTTGGATGACCAAAAAAATGTCCAACATTCCTAGTGGAGTATTGTATGTATGTACGTATGATAAAACAATGGGTTTTATTATACTCTTGTCTTGGTTAATACCTTGATTGATTGATTGATTGATTGATTGATTGATTGATTATGCACATTCAAGTCATTGTTGACTCTTAGTGACCATACAAATAGATTTTCTCCATGATGATCTGTCCCTAACCTGGTCTTCCAACAGTGCACTCATGTAATGGAGTCCATCCACCTTGCTGCTAATTGTCCTTTTCTCTTTCCTCTCACCTTTCCCAGAATAAGAGCCTTCTCCAGAGAATTTAATAACTAACCATTATTTTATTCAAGCCAAGCATTTGCTTTTCTCCTCTCAAACCAGAAGGCATGTGCTACAACTTCATAACATCACTAAAGTTCCCCACAATAATAGAGATTCTCTCAAGATGTAGTAATTTGAGCTTATTGCCAGGCTGACAAGGTATTTGAATTGATAATGTGACATCTCTGGCTTCTCTCACATCCTGCTGAGTGTAGAACCTGGAAACTGCAAGCCATCGATCAAAAGTTTAATTCTTGCAAATTTGTATCAGACACAAAATGAATCTAGAGCAAAGAATCCCATGCTGTTTCCAGCTTAAAGTCTCAATATTGCCACACAATGGAATTGATAGGGTATATCTAAATACACAGTGTGATGCTTTCCAGTAGATTCCGATGATTCAGGCAATAATTTGATTTTTTTTTTTTTTTATGAGATGGAGGTTGAAATCCATAGTTCCCAGGATGCCAGCAGCAAGAATTCATAGAGGCTAGAATATCCTTAACCCTGCTCACCAGCAAAGGGCAGTTTTCCAAAGTGCAAAAAGGCATGGAGGAATTGGGCAACAGCCCTGTTGGAGGGCCAGAGGCTTTGAATGAATCAAGCTTTCTCAGCCCTCTTCACAATACCCAAATGGGGGTTGGGGGGTGGGAGGAAGGTTAGGCCAAGGTACCTGCCTTACTACTTTTTTATAAGATTCTCTTTAAAAAATTGTAATAAAAAGGAAGCTAACAAGCTGCAAAGCACCAGTCTCTACCATTATTTCTCCATTTCTGTCTGTTAAACTCTCATAGGTTCAATGCACATGCACAATGCAGATGACACTGCGTTGTGCATAGGTTCATAGGTTCATTGTGCATAGGTTCAATGCACAGGCACAACGCACAGGCATGCTGCACAATGCAGTTCAGTGTTCTTTCTGGAAGTATGCCCAGTTGCCAAAAAGACAAAGATAACTAGAAGGATTAGAGCAGTATTTCTCAGCTCCCAGAATTCCCCAGCCAGTCCACACATCTTCAAGTGGCCAAGGTTGGGAAACACTGTATTAAAAGGTAAGATGAAACAACTTTATTCATTTGAATGTGACCTTCAGCTATGGCTGCTGTTTTGTGATGGAATATGTCTCAATATGTCCATTGGTCCCCAAAGATTCTGGAATTATGAGATGCATGTGAATATAGATATCCTCTCCACTTCTATTATAAATATAAAAATCTGCTTTTCTGCCACTCTACCTTGACACTCAGCAAACCTAGATCTCATCAAAATGACACATGCAGAGAGGTGTTGACAAAGATTCTACCATTATCTACTAGCGTTCCAACACCTGACACAAGTACATACTCTTAAATCAGTTTTTTCATCATGACTTATGTTTCATCATTAGTTATCCCTGCAGACACTTATACCTACCCCTTTTATACAGTTTTCATAGCCAGAGTTGATTGACTGATTATGTGCCATGAAGTCAGTGACAACCCTTAGTGAACACATAGTTTTTCTCCAAGAGAGCTTTCTGTTAGCTTTCTGTTTGCTGCCATCTGGTGGACATCCAGAGTTTTGCAAACCAGACTTGGTCCCACTATGAGAGTTCTTTAATTTCCAAAGACTGGGCATGCCACAGCATAGCAAATTTGTACCAAATGCTTTATTACAGCACACACCTTCCCCAGCAACAGATTAGTACTCTCCACCGATCTAGGACTTGCAAGGTGATGTTACCACGCAAATATGTCTTTAATACTCAGTCCTTTAATACTTAGTTCAAGCAAAAGTCTATAAAATTTATAAAGGCTATATAAATATATAAAGCCTATAATGTCTGTAAAGTGGCATACAACCTTTGCCTTTCCCCCAATATTCTTGAACTAGTTGAGATAGTGCTGCTTCGGAGTGGTTGTTCCTCTTCTAGTTGCTCCCAGCAAAGCTCCAAGCTCCAGGCAGGACTCCCACTGGGATATGCTGCTCACCATACCCTGTGGTCCTGGCAGCTGAATGATAGTCCTCTTGCCTGCCTGTAATAGCTGCCAATCTTCAGATGTCGCCTCCGCTTCCCCATCTGTAGGCCCTTTGCTTGTCGTCTTTCCTCTTTTGCACACACCTCCTCCTCCACCCTGTCTTAATGTTTGATTTTCTAAGCTAAGAGCCTGGGTGGGGTGAGGCTGCCTCCAGATGTCCTTGAAAACACCAGGGTGTGCCTCAGTTATCACAGGCAGCTGGAAAGCTGGCCTGGATGCTTGTGAGTAGTCACAGAAATGAGAGAAATGGGGTGAGAAATATTTCTGCTTGGCTGCAGCTTACCTTTTCCAAGCACGGGCAGCAACACCAACTTCCTCCCTCACACCCACAAAGCTTCCTCCTCCTCCTCCATCTCTTTTTTATTGCACTATGTCTTGGTAAGCAAGATAATTCTGTACCTAAGTTTCCCCTTTCTTCATATTCTCTCCTTTGGAACAGCCTCATACTCAATCCTTACTACATTCTTGAAGAGTCATAAAAACATGGTTCTTCTGAAAAGCATTTGGGGATGGGTAAGATCATGCTATGACAGTCAGTTTGCTGTAGTGGTTAAGACACCAGACTAGAAACTAAAAGACTGAGTTCTAGTCCTGCTTTAGACATGAAGCCAGCTGGGGGACCCTGGGCCAGTCCCTTTCTCTCAGCCCTCAGAAGAAGGCAATGGCAAACCACTCCCAAAAATATTTCCTAGAAAACTTCAAGAACTTGCCTTTCTTGCTGCAGGGACTTGTCCAGGCAGTCATCAGGGTCAACCCTGACTTGAAGGCACCAAAAATAAATTTTAAAAAATCATGGTACCCTGAATGGTACACAGCAAATGATTGGTTATAATTGTATTAATTGGCTTTTGTTTTTAATATTTTGTATTAATTCTGTAATGCTGCAGAAACAGC